GCACGAACTTGCAACTTTTTCCCTTAGCACTGCACGCTTTTTTCCCTGGCACTAAGCAGCCAGCACACTGGTAAAAATTTCAGGCTGCCTTTTTGCGCCCAGTCCAGCTATGGGTCGATTTTTACAGTTCACTTCTGCCAGCAGCCCTGCAGATCCCCTTCCACATTCGTGGATCATGCTAGCCCCAACGGCTGTGGATTTTGTGGGGTGCAGACTTCCTGAACCTCTAGATCCCATTTGCGCATTTCTCTCTCCGGCCTGGATCGCAGACCTCACCTTTCCCTAGGCGAAATCTGACCTTTCCGTGAGAAGGTGCAGAGCTCATCCGAGTCTGCGTATTCACACTGCTAGAGATCCAGTGTTCCTGGGTTCACAGCTGGTTGCTGGGTGTTGTGGTTGTCGAGACCCAGGCTGTATAGACTTCTGATAACAGCCACTCTCCCCTTCAAGATGGCATGGTCTCCGCAGCAGAGCTGGTCGCTCCGGGAGAAATTTCAGCCGCAGTGGAGGCTGCCCGGTCAGGGGAGCCCGGTCCAGCAGTCCCCAACAGTCCCTTGGAGTATAGCTGTCCCTCACCCACAAATATACACTCCCCATACATCCACACGCTCTCTTTTTGTTCTCCCTCTCATACTATCTTGCAGTCTGCCTTCCCATCAGCAGCCATCTTCCTATCTAGTTCATATTTTTGATATGGGTATAGAATTCTAAGTTGGCAGTTATTTTTCTTTATTGCTTTTAAGATATTCTGTTGATTCCTGGCTTCTGTTTTTCCTGATGAAAACTTTCCTGTCAGTTTAACTGTTGCTCTTTTGCAGGTCATTTCCACCTATTCTCTGATTTTAAGATTCTTCTCTTTGTCGTTTGTTTTCAGCAGTTTTGCACTAGTGTGGTTCAGAGTGATTTTTAAAAAGATATATATCTTATTGATTTTAGACAGGAGGGAGAGGGAGAAAGAGATAGAAACATCAATGATCAGAGAGAATCATTGATTGGCTGCCTCCTGCACACCCCCTACTGGGGATCGAGCCCACAACCCATGCATGTGCCCTTGGTGGGAATTGAACCTGGGACCCTTCAGTCCTCGGGCCAACGCTCTATCCATTGAGCCAAACCAGCTAGGGCCAGAGTGATTTTTTAAAAAATGTATCTTGGTGTTTTTAAAACTTATTAAATTTATACTTTAATCTCTGATCAGCTTCAGAAAATTTTCAGACTTTAACTTTTTAGGTATTGCTTTGGGCCAGTTTTCTTTCACTAGAATTCTGGTTTTAAGTATGTAACTCTTCTGACAACATTCCCTCTTTCTCTTATAGTCTCCTGCTTTGCCATCCCTTCACCTCCATGCTTCTTTTATTTTCTCGTTCACTAGTTCTCTGTTCAGCAGTATGTAGGCTGCTTTTAAAGCCATCCACTGAGTTTTTCAGTTCTAGAATGCACATTTGGTTTTTTCTTTTGTAGTTTCCAATTTCCTGTCTCATTCTCAAAATTGTTTTTTAATTTTTCTGAATATGCTAAGCATAGTTATTCTTTTTAAAATCTGTGTTTGAAAAAAAAATAATAAAATCTGTGTTTGATAAGTGTATTATCTTGATCATCTGTTGGACTTTTCTATTAGCTCTTAGTTCTCTTGGTTTTTCTGTTATGGTTCCTTTTTTTTCCTTCTGTCCATTATTTTTGATTGGAAACTAAAAACGTTATGTTGAAGAATCCTATATAAAAAAAGCCTAATATGCTAAGTGTCTGGTTGTCCTGTGGGCCGTTCAACCAATCAAAGTGTAATGCTAATGATATGCTAAGGCCGCTCAACCGCTCGCTATGACATGCACTGACCACCAGGGGCAGACACTCAGACCGTTAGGTTAGCCTGCTGCTGGAATCCGGCCTGAGCGAGATGGGCCGGACACGCCCTGGAGCCCTCCCGCGGTCCCTCCTGGGCTGGCCAACCTCCCGTTTCTCTCCCCACTCTGATTGTGCACCGGTGGGGTCTGTCAACCTGGCCTGCGCCCTCTTGCAATCCGGGACCCCTCGGGGGATGTTGGAGAGCCAGTTTCGGCTCAATCCCACAGGCCAGGCCGAGGGACCCCACTGGTACACAAATTCGTGCACTGGGCCTCTTGTATAAAAAATAATTTGAGCCTTAGTATAATATCTTCTTCTAAATAGTATTTGTATTTGCTTTTTGGTTTTTTATTATTTATATGAGCAGTCCTGGATTACTTTAATATTGAGATGATTTAAAATTGGATTGTAGTTCCTATGATGTTTGCAATTCACCTTAACTTCTACAGTATAGACCTTCAGAGCTATAACCCAAAGTGTAGGGGGATTTTGAAATTCCCTTCTTTTTCTTTTAATGTTTTAATTGATTTTAGAGAGAGGGAGAGAGATTTAGAAACATCACTGATGAGAGAGAATCATTGATCAGCTGCCTCCTGCATGCCCCCCACTGGGGATCGAGCCCACAACCCAGACATGTGCCCTGATTGGGAATTGAACCATGATCTCCTGGTCATAGTTCGATGTTCAACCACTGAGCCACACTAGCCAGGCTCAAAGTTCCCTTTTCAGTGGGCTCTGGACTCCAACTTCTTCTCTAGCTCTGTACGGTTGTCAAAAGCTCCACTCAGTTTTTCACCTGTCTCTCTAGAATTGGTAGCAGCCATTGAGGGAAGCTTCCCTAAATTGTAGGCTTTACTTTTCTTATTTTCTTTACTTTCCTGGATGTTGTTCCCTTGTTAGCTCTTACATGAAGTCAAATAGATTTTTAAAAATACATTTTTTCAGTTTTTTTAGTTCTTAGTGGGAAGGTGATCATATTACCTCTGCCAATTCTAAATGTGAAAGTCTTCCTTATTCTTTTTTTTAAAACTACCATTTTTTTTCTATATATGCGGCATTCAAAATATGTATATTCTGTATTTTCCCAATACATCAACTCAAACAAAACTGGCTTTTGCTGTATAATTATTCTTGATTTTGTTAGTGAATAGAGAATGCCATCTAAGTCTTCTCTTTATATGGGGCAGGCAGAAGTATAATTGTGAGTACACAAAATACAGAGTTTATTCTTGTATTATTATTAATTATTGTATTTGCATACAAACACCTGCAAACCTACTTTTGACCACCCCTGAATTTTTTTTTTTTGACCACCCCTGAATTTATATTTCGTTTACATTTTCATTTCTTAGAGAAAAATAAGAATATTAGGAATTCTTAATTCAAGAGTTTAAAAAATATACTTTGTGTAGTAGTTATGTTTAATTGAAATTATTTTCAGCAAATTAACATCAGTAGTTTGAAGTTCTGTACTCTTTCAGTGCTTGGTTACCATAATATTGCTAACATTCTATCAGACACCATTCCATTGTAGACCACTGAAATCCTGGATCAGAATAAACATATCCAAATAATTAGTCCCTGTAGATACTATTGAAGACTAAACTTGTGGAGAGATAAAGTCCTAGTCTATTATTATCTTCACTGTTTTTGAATTTTACTTATAGGTTTAAAACATTTTCTTAGTATACATGCTTTGTCCAGGGTCCCCAGGGCCACCCCCATGTTTGGAGGTGAGTTAGCATATAATTGTACTCACAGCTAAGACTTATTACAGTGATGTAATAAGGAGATGCAGATAGATCATAATGAGAAAGGCACAGGTAGGGTCTAGAGAAATCTGTATGTAGGGTTTTTTATGCTCTCTTCTTCTCATGAGAGGTCACAAGGGTTACAATCTTCTCCTAACAACACAAATGCATGTGTGCAATGTTTCTGCCTAGGAAATCCCATTAGAGACTCAGAGCCCAAGATTTTTATTAGGTGCTGCTGGTCATGTAGGCACCCTTTCCTGAGCACATATCCAAAATTGTAAACTCCCAGAAGGAATGCAGGTCTTCAGCATAAACTGCATACGGTGAGCCACCTTTATCATTTAGGAAAAGTTTTATGTATGTCTTGGAACTGTTTCCCAGATGGTTGTCAGATTTCAGCCAATGGCTTTGCAGGCAGGCCTTTCTTAGGATAGCTGTCTTCAGACGACTGTGTTATAAGCTTTTCTGTACACATGCCTAAAATGACTAATTGTTGAAATTTTCTGTAAACATTGTATGTGAATATCAAAGGCCTCTGTAATAATTTTTGTTTTGATAATTAGTAAAATGTTTATTATTAAACTTAGGTAGCTAAAACAGTTGGGTGGTTATAATATCTTAATATGTTTTATACATGTTTTTACTAATGTGCCAGTGCCTGTTGTCAGTTTTAATCCATATGTGGGAAGAACAAGACAGTGTTAGAACATTTAGTACATCTAAAAAGACTGTTTAAAAATTAAATTATAGTGGGAAATAATCTATTATGAAAAGACACTTCAGATGTCTCCTTTTAAAGTTCATATTGAACCACCCACATATTTTTCAGATTTCAGTGGACTTGTTTTTCTATGGGAGCTTTTTGAGGAAAGTACTTTGCTACTAAGAATTTTGATTAAACAGCTCTCTTGACAATCAGAAATAATTTCTGACTACTATTAGAATCAAATTGGAGAATCTTAGATATTATAGACTAGATTTCTTATTTCCAAATATGAAAGCTGACCCAGGAAATTAAGTGACTATCAGCAAAACTGTGAATAGCTGGTTATTTTCATTTTATTAGGTTTTAGTTATAGATATGCACCTGGAAACATTATTTAAAAATATCAAGAGGCCATGGATTAATTTTGAATTTCATTCTTGGATATCTTTTCATGCCTAATTTGGTCATTTCATTTCATTCAACAAATTTAACAAGTATTTTTTTAATCCTTGTTGTGTGTCAGACACTAGTTTTAGGTGCTCGGTATCAGTTTATTTATTTGTAATCAAATTAAAATCTGTCCCATTAAGGGTAGGTTGGAGCTGCCTGTTATTCTGTAGGTTCTTAAGTATATGCATTTATTACACTGGATCCTGGTCCCTCAAGATATTTTATCTCTTTTTTTTCTTCCCCTTAAGGTAATACTGCATTGCATGATTGTGCAGAATCTGGAAGTTTGGACATCATGAAGATGCTTCTAATGTATTGTGCCAAGATGGAAAAGGATGGTTATGGAATGACTCCCCTTCTCTCAGCAAGTGTGACTGGTCACACAAATATTGTGGATTTTCTGACGCACCATGCACAGACTAGCAAAACAGAGCGGATCAATGCTTTAGAGCTTCTGGGAGCTACATTTGTAGACAAAAAAAGAGATCTACTTGGGGCTTTAAAATACTGGAAAAAGGCAATGAACATGAGGTACAGTGATAGGACTAATATAATTAGCAAACCAGTACCTCAGACACTAATAATGGCTTATGATTATGCCAAGGAGGTAAACAGTTCAGAAGAGCTAGAAGGTCTTATTGCTGATCCTGATGAGATGAGAATGCAGGCACTATTAATTAGAGAACGTATTCTTGGTCCTTCTCATCCTGATACCTCTTACTATATTAGGTATAGAGGCGCTGTCTATGCAGACTCTGGAAATTTCAAACGATGCATCAACCTATGGAAGTATGCTTTGGATATGCAACAGAACAATTTGGACCCGTTAAGCCCAATGACCGCCAGCAGCTTATTATCTTTTGCAGAACTGTTTTCTTTTATGTTACAGGATAGGGCTAAAGGCCTGCTGGGTACCACTGTTACATTTGATGATCTTATGGGCATATTGTGCAAAAGTGTCCTTGAAATAGAGCGAGCTATCAAACAGACTCAGTGTCCAGCTGACCCCTTACAGTTAAATAAGGCTCTTTCCATCATTTTGCACTTAATTTGCTTGTTAGAAAAAGTTCCTTGTACTCTAGAACAGGACTACTTCAAAAAGCAGACTATATACAGATTTCTTAAGCTGCATCCAAGGGGAAAGAATAACTTCAGCCCTCTTCATCTGGCTGTGGACAAGAATACTACATGTGTAGGGCGGTATCCTGTTTGCAAATTTCCATCTCTGCAAGTTACTGCCATACTGATAGAATGTGGTGCTGATGTGAACGTCAGAGACTCCGATGACAACAGTCCCCTGCATATTGCTGCTCTGAACAACCATCCAGACATCATGAATCTCCTTATCAAATCAGGTGCACATTTTGATGCCACAAACTTGCACAAACAAACTGCTAGTGACTTGTTGGACGAGAAAGAAATAGCTAAAAATTTGATCCAGCCCATAAATCATACCACATTGCAGTGTCTTGCTGCTCGTGTCATAGTGAATCATAGAATATATTATAAGGGGCATATCCCAGAAAAGCTAGAGACCTTTGTTTCACTTCACAGATGATAATTTGACTGTATTTTAGCACTGTTAAAGCACGAATTATTAACAGTTGTTTCATAAATGAGCACTGTTGTGATAACACCAGCATTCATTTAGCTTGATATCATCGTGCTCCCATTGGCTAAAACATTATAAGCATCAAATTTACAGGATTGGTTTCCCAGTATTTACTATAAATATACCATATAATATATTGTTTGTGAATTATTGAAAAATGTAATGTCATAATTCAAATTTCTAAAATTGTCTGCCAAAGGCTTATTCATTCTAGTTTTGTTTGCTGTTGGGTGTTTGGGACAGAGTTAACCATTCTTCAGTGGTATCTTTATACCCTTCTGGTTTGTGAATTTTATACAATTGAAGGTCTTTCTTTTCTGCTTTTTTCCAAGCTTCTCCCATTTTCACTTTATATTTTTTCTAACCATTTCTACTTATCATTTCCCCATCCCCTTATGGACCCATAAACTTTATGTACAAACTTTATGGACTCGTTACCATATGCAGTTACCATAAGTGCTTTATCTTCTCTACGCACCGGCTTAAACTTGACTGTTGTATATTAGCATATTTTCTATGCAGCAGTTGATCAACTTCAACTCAAAACACTGTTGAGTTTCTTACAAAGTTCATTTTATGAAAGTACTCTTGTAGCATGGCAATTTTTAGAGCTATTGGTTAGCTACCTGAGCTCAAGCTTTTTTTTCTTCCACATCTGAGATTTCTTTCTCTAATCCACTGAAGTTATTATGTGCTAAATTTGGGAAACAAATCTAATTCATTAACCCAGTTGAAATTTAGGTCTGTCATCTTAATATATCATGCAGTAAAAGGAGGAATCTTTTTAAAGTGACCCACCTTTCATGCTGTGCCAGCATTGTCCTGCTTGTGCTGATGAAGTGATTAGGTATAGAGAAGCTTAAATTTAAACTAAAATTTATCACACAGCTTAATGAGTCACATTGAAATATTCAGTAATTGAACTGCAAATCATTTTTAGTTACAAAAAGAGCTAAAGCATGTCAATGGCATGATGCTTGCCAAGCCAAATCTAGACATCTAGGATAATTAAGATATTTTAGTATGCAATTGACTGCCATTGTATCAAAGGTCAGTAACAGTGTTCTTTCTTTCTTCAAGCTTAAGTATACCTTTAAAGATAACTTGCATGAATTATTTTGGTCTCAATTATTTGTCACCATAGTTAAACACACAAGGTTGCAGTGCTTTTCCCTTACTGAAAGTTAGCTTTTCTTTACTTTTTTTCCCCCCTCAGTGTTTTTTAAACAGCTTTATTAATGCCACAGAAAGGGCTCTTTTAACTTAAGATAAATGAAACGTACTAAAAAAGATTCAGGTAATTATTAGTCAGCACTTTATTGTTTTTCACAATAAAATTTATGATGGCATATTTGCCCTGCAAATGTCTTACTTAATGAAATTGTTATAAATAAAAACTCCTTATTGGTTTGAGAAAAACTCGGTTTACCTGTGAGTTTAGTGAGCTGGATCACTGGGATTTTTCTGTCATTTTATTCTGAGGGTTGATGTACTAGTATTTAAGGAGTCATCATTGCAAACAGTCACATTAGGTTTATTTCATCTTTACTCAGTAAAATACTTGTAATGAAGAATAGTAAATAAATAAAACAGCATTAGACTTTGTGGTTAAATAATTGAAGTTTAATTTTTAAAAAGATATCCTTATTTTACTAGGTTGTAAATTTAATTTCACCATTAAAAGAGGTGAATTGGATTTAAATGGTTCCTCTCTAATCTTTTGATGAAGAGATTTTAATATCTTACCATGGGCAAATTTGATGAAATATTTTAACTGCCACATATATTAAGAATAATTTGTGATTTAGACAAGTATTCTAGAAATATCAGACATCAATATTTTGAAACCATTGACTCTAACCTTGTGATACAAGAATTATATATGCCTGAGCTAATTTTTTTTTTTTAAAGAAACTGTTGCCAGTAGAATAAATCTACACTAGTTGATCGCAATAATTTTTGGGTAAAAGATGAGCAATTGGATTTTTAAGTGATTTAATATTTCCTCCTTTTTTGGGAGTGGGTTGAAGGGCCTACATGCTCTTATAGTAAGGCACATCTCACACTGTTGTACAGGTGAACTTGAATTGTACAACCCTAGTATAAATTAAGGATTTCTTTACTTAGCATTTTTCCACCACTAAATTTAGATAACTTAGAACTGTTCATCAATCTTGATAACTTGAAATGCCTTATTTCACTTAAGATGCAATTCTACTCTGTTTGCCATTTCCCCAAATGCCATTAGGAGTGCTTGAAAAATCAGTTAGTTTAATAGCTAAAAATTGTCCATGATTTTTAGAGGAGGTTGGTAATGTGACCTGAGACACTGTTTAGGCCTTTGTCAGAAAGTATTCTCAAAATTGTTGTGAGACTGAATAAGATAAAAATTTTGTGGGTTTTTTTAAAAACCACAAATGAGTAATTTAATACTTATTGAGCTAATTGTCATTTGAGTCCATCTAAACTACATTGTAGCATGGTGATGTTGGCTGGAGTTAATAATATGTAAGTTTTTATTACATTTCTATAAAAATGCCCTGTTAAGGCCTGCTGAATTTTAGATGTTCCACTAGTGATCATTTCTGTAAAAGAAATGGTCACTCTACTCAGATTTGATACTAGTCCACTTTATAAAGACAAGTGGATTATAGATTTAAAAGATCGTCATTTTCTTATCCATAAATATGACAGGCACATAAACCCAAATCAGCAACAGATAATTTGGTGCCCAGTATGATTTTGAAGTTAAGTAATTGCTCACTTGTAAAGTGACTACCTAATGTATAATATTTTAGAGACCCCCATCTACTGTGACTTGGGAAAATTGTTAGGCTATATTTGAAAAATTAGTTCTTTAAAATCATATTGCCCAGCAGAAACCTAGGTTGAATTTTACAGGTATAATAATCCTTGTAAATTAATTTCTCAGAATTGTGGGGGCTGAATGAGAGAATAATCATTCTTGTGCACTCTAACAGCATTATTGCTTGGAACTTTAACCATTTTAGAGTTAGATACTAAGGAAACTAAAATTAATTGGTCATCATCTCCCCCCCTTCCCGTTATATGTCATTAAACAACTAGTTTCTCTCCCTTTTGTCCATTCCCATTGTGTATTTTTCAGAAGAAGTACTGTATTCAGGTGCCAGCCAATAAATTGTCACACAATGGAAAATGATATGCCACAACATTCATTGTAAGGTCTAATAAAATTAAATTTGCACCAAATACAAGTGTATTTTTATTAACTCTTAATACTTGATTGATGTTATCTTAATGCTTTTTGATAGCAGACTCTTGCTTCAAAAAACAATTTATGGTTAGAACTTAAGACAGCATTTATTATTAATATTTCTATGTAAAAAAGATGACTTAGGTACAGGTTTGTGTTTTTTTGGGGGGGTTTTTTTCAGTGAAGACCATAGAAACTAAAGATGGGAAGACTTGTCAAATGCATGGGAGAGGGATTGCTTTTAACTCTTTGTTTTTAAACTGCTTTGGTATTAAGTATCAGAAGCATGTCATAAATATATTACTGTGAAGGTAAGTTTTAGAAATTTATTTCCATCACTTTTAAATCATAAAACCTAAGTGCTCATTGTCTTTTCCTTATATGTAATCTTCCTAATACAAAAAGATTTAATAGGTCTAGAAAATGCACTGGCTGTAATTTCTACACTCTCATGCATAGACAAATATTCAATAGAGTAGGCTTCCCCCTTTTGAATCATTAACCTGCCACATCCATAACAAGTACATGCTTTGCCATCCTTTTGACAGGACCCTTTTAAACCATAGTTTTCTATACCCTTGGTTCTGTGGTTGTCCCTGAACACCACCACCAATATTTAAAAGAAAGTTGAAATTTATAGGGTAAGGATATTATATTTTTAAGGATTTGAACAAAGAAAAGTCTTATGTCCTCAAGATACTCCTTTTAAAATATTTTTTTAATCCTTTCTCCCATCTCTGTACTATCAGCAGGTTCTTTCTTGAATAACTTGGGGTTATGGGAATTGTGAAATAATTGGTTCCTTGGTGCCATGCTACCTTACATTTTGTTTATTGTAAAGACTTTTAAATAAGATCTCTAGTAAAATGAACTCAACTTTATATAATTATCTCAGATGTATAATTTATTTTCCTAATATTTGATATAAAAATTAAACTATAGTTCTCTGCCTTAAAAAATTGAAAATTTATACTTACAAAAGGAATACATTTAAAACATTCACATTAAAGAAGGATTTAAAGAGTAGTAGTTAAACTAAAACAATTTAGGTAATATTTAGTCCTAGAATTTAGCTGTAAATCAAGAAGTGAAGTGGTTTAAATTTGACATTATTGCCAAAAATAAAAATGGAAAAAAAGATTCGGTCTATTCTAGAAAAAATATTTCCAAAACTTTCCAGTAAACAATCTCTTGTAAAGTGAGATCTACTTTAAAGACATATTTGAGCCTTATTTATTTCCTTTTTTTCTTTTCTGAAAGACCAAATATAACTTTGGCTGGTTTACATAATAGTTAACCAGTATTAATTGATCCTAGGATTGGTACTTAACAATTTTATGTCTTTGTAGATTATAAAACTTTATTTGTGGTAATATTTAGTCCTAGAATTTAGCAGCCACCTTGATTTCTTAAGACAAAATATTTAATCTACTCATTACAAGGGCTCAACTGGAGACATTTAAAAAACCAGAAAACGAAAATGACACTGCAGCTTCATACAGCGTCCTACACAGCAATCAAAGAAAGAAGAGACCATCAGGAGAAAAACGGCAACACAAGATGGGCAGGTCAGGGCTCTTGGGGGGAGACCTGCTCTGAGTAGTTTCCTTGCAGGTTCTCAAAGGTTGTGGGTGTTTCCAGAACTTAGCAGCATGTGTGTTCAAAGGGCTATTGGTGTTGGGTTCTCAGCAGGCCCTGCATGGAGAGCAGGATGGGCTGACCATTTGTCCTCCAGGATGTCCAGGCAGAAGTGACCGGTGTCCACGTGGTGGTGGTGAGTGGGCTGTGACGGCACTGTGACAGTAGGTAGGCTCTGACTGTAGCCATTGGTGAACTCCCTGGAGAGGCTTCAGATCTTTACTGACTGTTCTGGCTGCTCTGTGGATGGTCTGCCCATTTGAAAAGGACCAAGTCAGGGAAGGCAGAAATTCTCTTGTCGCCAGAGAATTATCATGAGTATCAGCTCCTGCTGGAGCCTCTTGCTCAGGAACCCACTCTCCCCCTCCCCCCCTCAACCCCCCACATACCCCTTACTGGACCCCACTCCTTTACAGGTATCTGGGTCTGGGTTCTGGGTCACTATCCCCACCTCAATTCTTTAATAGTAAAAGTAATGCTAGTTGAGTATTCAGTCAATAATATTGAATTCCTGCAGGACCAGGCACTGTCAAATGATAATTACTAAGACTTTGGAAAATAAGCAAAAAGAAAACCACCAATCTCATCTCCCAGGTATACACAGTTAATCCTTAGGTATATTTTATGTATGTGTTAAATTCTTTCAGGACAAATTGTTAAAGTAGTGGATGGTAGCTAAATTTTGGGAAATTCTGAAAATAGAATTAGGTCAAGGATGAATTTAAATGTGTGTGACTTGTTTATAATGGAGTTTTAATGGAAAATTGGAGATAGTCCTCATGCACTTTCAAGGTAATCTTAGACAAATATATGTACCAAGTAGCAAAATAAGTCCACATTCTTTGTTAGTAGGCAACAATTCCTTGCTAATCTCTGGAGTAGCTGATGTTAGGATACCTTCTATTCATCTAAATGTAACTTTTTAAAGAAATTGGAATCTTTAGTTACACATAAAGAGCTTATACATTTAAACCTTTCTGATTTTTCTATAATCTTAAAAATAAATGTGTTTATAGTGCTTAATTTTCTATCACTGACTTACTTTTGAACAAGTCTTGATTTGTGTGAATTATGAAAATTACTTGTTATTTTACAGATGAATGATATAAATTAGTAAGATTTATAGAATATTTTTATTTCTTGAATACGTTAATACTTCTTAAAAGTTTGGAGTAATTTCAGTTGTACAGAAAAGTTGCAACGGTAGTTAAAGAGAGTTCCTATATATCCTTTCTCTGGCTTCCCCAACTGTTAACATATTACATGGTACCTGCTTATCAAAATTAATTTATGAAAACTAAGAAGTTAACATTGGTACAATGCAATTAACCAAACTATAAACTTTATTTATATTTCACAGTTTTTCTAATAATCTACTAATGTCCTTTTTCTGTTCCTGGACCCAATCTAAGACACTACAGTGTATGTTGTAGTCATTATATCTCCTTAGTCTGTAACAGTTTCTCAATCTCTCCTTGTTTTCCTAGACATTGACATTTTGGAAGACTACTGGTCAGATATTTTCTAGAATATCTGTCTATTAGAATCTATCTGATAATTTTTTATGATTTTACTAGGATTGTCATTTTCTAGGGAAGAATACCACAGAGGTGAAGTGCCTTTCTCATTATATCACATCAGTGGGTACATGATACCAGTATGACTTATCACTGATATTTACCTTGATCACTTGGTTAAGATGGTATCTGCCAGGTTCTTTCTATATTTGACCATTACTTACTAGTACACTCTAATCCTTACTTTTAAGAAAACAATTTCTTACCTTTCATTTTGAGTACTTATTTTTCTCTCATTTACTTTGAGATTTTCTCTGTCTTCAGTTTAAATACTTCTGTTACCTTGTAACAGACAGCAAAATATTTCTCCAGCAAAATGGGTATATTTGGGAACAAAAAAAAGAATTGCAATTTGGGATATGCCTGCAGTCTAATGGTGAACTGAGTGCAAGTCCAGAGAAAAAAAGGAGAGGAACACTCAGTTATGGACTTGGAGGGGCCATTGGAGGAAATTGAAATTTTGAAGTATAGCTATGGCGGTCTTTCATTGGCTGAGCTGTTATTAGGCAAGGAGAAATCTTTTCTTCCTTCTGCTGAGGTAGTAAAATGGTATCACTTCCTGTTGGAGATGAAAGGTATGCCTCTTCCCGTTGGAGTTTAGTGCATGCATTGAGTGACATGTGAATGAAAATTCTCTTTTCTAGTTTAACCAACTCCATTTTAAATGAGGCTTCTTTTTATTAATTTTCAGACTTTAGAGATAATGTAAAGTAACTTTAATATTTCTATTTTGAAGCAGGGGAAGGAAGGTACTGTGTGTGTTAAACTGTTTGTTTCAGTCTAACAGCTCTTTCCTCAGCATTTTGAAGATACTCTTTCATTGTCTTTTGGCCTCTAATGTTGCTGAGTTCTGTCATTCCATGTTTCATTTTGGGTACTCATTTTTCTCTCATTTACTTTGAGATTTTCTCTGTCTTCAGCATTTTACTGTTTCTTTGTGATTTGATTAGGTGGGGTTGATTTATTTATCCTCTGGTGACTCAGTATGAGTCTAGTCTGTGGACTCATGCCTTTCTTTAATCCTGGAAAATTATCGCCCATTATATCTGTCTATCAACTCTTCCTCATTCTCTTTATTCTTTCCTTCTGAAACTTTTATCATACATATTGTTAGATTTTTCCAATCTCTTCTTTGTCTCTGAACTTTCCTCATATCTTTCATCTCTCTATACTAGATTCTGTAATTTTCTTAAAACTTTATTCCGTTCACTAATTCTATTATCTCTAATCTGTTAATACATCTATGAAAACTTAAAATTTCAATGCCTATGTTTTTATTTTTAGAAGTTCTATTCAAGTTTTCTTGCTGATTTTTCAATTTCTCTCTCACCTCCTTAAACATTCCTACTTTATGCTCCCCTGTAGTTATACTATGAATCCTCTTATTTATAGTGCTTTTTTTTTTCATGAAGCCTTTCCTCCTGGAGGCTGTAATTTTATTTTTGTTGCTATCCTCAACAGGTGCTATTTCTTCAAGTGGAAGACCTCTGTGTCCAGGACTTTGGGAATAAATATCTCTCCAGACCAACCAGGCCCCTGGGATTTCAGCATTTATATAAAATGTTCAGCTTGGGCATCCTATATGAAGAGAGTGAAGTAAATTTGGATTCTATGCAGCAAGTGCAGGCTTAAAGTTCTACTTTCTCATTGGAGCATATTGTTTTTAATCCACTTTGTATTAATGGATAGACAACCAAGGCTCCTAGCTGTTTCATTGGACTAGAAAGATAAGGTGGTCTTGGCTCCTATACTCGAGGAGTAGTCTTTCTCGGTTCTTATAT